CTTATTAAATGTATTGATTCTAATCCTTCCCTAAATTTATTATTCAAATTTTTTACTCCTTTCTTATCACCTTCTTAAAAAATTAAATAAGAAAAAAATTTAGTTTTTCTTTTCTTTTCTTTCATGTCCATGTGGCAATTTGATATATTGGTTGGAAATGCTCTTAGAAGGACGTCTTTTGTTTGTATAAAAAAACGATATTTCTCTTGTGGATTTTTTTTTGAGGTCATTCTTTTGTCTTTTTTTTTTCCTCTAAAAAAATAGGCAATTTCTTAATTTTAACATATGGTAAGAGAGTTGTAAAAAAAATTTGATAAATTGAAGGACAATACATTTAATAAGGGTAAACTTGAAAAACAAAATGTGGATTGTTTGATGTATTAATATAATTGTTTTAAGTGTACATGGAGGGGTTGTGGTAGACCAAAAAATGGGAAGCTTTCCCACGCTGAGTCCACCAAGCCTAGTGCTAAGCGTGAAAGTCTAGTTGTGGCAGTTTCTCATGGCGATACCTTGGTGTCAAGGGTAGACTTCTTGGATCCTAAGTGCCTATGCACTGTTGCTTCTTTTGAGAAGACTATGGAGATCGGTCCAGTTGGGTCTCTTGGTAACCTTCCTTAATGTGTTGCTGGAGCATTTGTGGGCTTGTCATCTGACGAATACTCTTTCACTTGGTATCTAGTTCCAGGTTAAGTGGCCACATCTAGTTTTGTCCCTTATTGCGTGGTGTTTTTTCAATTCTCCTTTCGACATATCTTTGATTCTTCGCCTCTCTATAAGACTATGGCCCTATAAGAGTTTTCCTGTCTTCAGGATTATGGTTTCATAGGAGGTTTCCTTGTCAGTTTTGGGATGATACGGTATGGCTTTGATTATCTTTTTGCTTTCTTCTTATCTTGGCTTGCTCGTTATGTTATGTCTTTTAATTGTGCTGCTCCCTGCAAACTACTCTATTCGCAGAGCCATTCGAAGCTCTATGTTTCTCTAATAGAGGTGACTAAAGCTGGTGTGTATCAAGGGCGTCTTCTCTCTTTTGGCTTTGGTGTGTTCTCTGTCGAGTTTTCTCACCATCTAGTAGCTGTGCAAAGGACTATGATCTCATAGCAGGACTTTTTTGACAGTCGGATTGTGTAGTGTTCTCATTGGAGGTCTCTGTGTCAGTGTTTTTTGTTTTGATTATTGTCCTGGTCCTAAGTGTCTATTTCAGAATCTCTTGTTAGTCCATGACATGTGTGATACTCTTTCTTATTGTGGGGTTTGTTCCCTAAGAAGGTTTTAATGAGGCCACTGTATCGTGTCGTTTATGTACCTTGATTCTTTCAATGAAATTCTATAAAAAAAAAAAGTGTATGGGAAGTGACAGATGTTATGAGGAAAAAGGAGAAAGTCCAAAAGAGAAGGTTGGAGAGAAGGTTGGCATTCCCCTAATATTTTTCTTATGTGAGTCTTTTTGGATGTTATAGAGTAAAACACATTAGTGTAAGCCAAACTAATCTGTATTGCTATCTTGTTTATGGGATTGGGTATTGGTAAGTTGCTTGTGATATTCTTAGAAGCTGAATTTCATAATCTGTCCACACCCACAGGGGCAGAAAACCCATCGTTGTCTCGGGTGTGCTACTGGAGACTCTGGGGAAGTCAGAATAGTCACCCATTGGGTCTCTTGTTTTTTCATGTCGTTCATGTCAAGCTTTTCTCTCAGCAACCCAACACTGTGAGCTAATAATAGAAAAGATAATGTTTTGGCTGATACTTTGGCAAGATCTAGGGAATTTTTATTTTGATAGGCCTCCTTGTTGTTGTGACAATTTTGTTCTTGAAGAACGACGTGGGATGCCCAGGCCTAGACTTATTGAGTTTTGCTTCGACTTAAATTAAAATTAATAATGGAGATTCAAAATGCTCAGAGTTATGGATGGAATTCTCCTACAAATTGTTATAAAATTAATTTTGATGGCACAGTTCTTTCTAATGGCAATGCTACTACATGTTCCCTGATACCTTTCCTATTGGTACAACAACATCTGTTTTGCACGTCAACGCATTTGCTCTAGCTACAACAAGCGATTCAATGGGCTATTTTTGACTTCAATTTTTTATATTTTTTATCTGGAGATTGAAGGAGATTCTAAACTACTTATCCAAATGATAAGAGGAAATGTAGTATACATTGGAAGAAGATATCCATGAGAGATATTTTGCAGTTGCTTTCTCAACTATCAAGTTACACTCTACATCATATCTATCGAGATAAACAAATCTGGTAACTAATAATTTATTTAGGACATAATTATGATACGTATTTGGTTTTGTAATTTTTCTTCTTCCGTTCTTATTTTAGACTAAAATTTGACATGTTTGGAAATAGGATCCGTGGAGGTAACATGTTTATGTATATTGTTTCTGCATTTGTATAAAAAATAGCAAGTTAATGAATCATGTTTTATCTCATTATGAGATAACTAAAACCTCTTCTGCTTTGTCAGATTCAATTCTAATACTTGCTAATTCTGTACTGCAATTTTAAAAATGAAATCACATGTAACTGGAGATACGGGTATATATTTTAGTTCATTGGACAACCGTCAACAACGATGCCCTTTTGTGGTAGGGCAAGTTGCCAAGTCACAGTGTTGACCCTTTGTAGCCCACCTGGCCATGCTTCTATTTTCCATGCCTCCTGAAAGGTACAATAAATATGCCATGAAAGCCATGCCAGCATCCAATGCCATTGAGCAAGAGAGAATGAAAAAACAAGAGAGAATGAATGTGTTCACCCGTTTAGATTTAGTTCTTGTGATGGTAGGGTAAAATTTCCCATTAACTTAAAATCCATTTGTGGTCAATAAATCAACTTTCTTTGGTGTGCTAGCGTGACACACTGTTAGTAGTCAAGACCCTAACAGACTTGTGAAAAATAATTAACTTGCGCCCCAAGTTATTGACTTTAAACAAGTGACTGTGAATTTGTGTGAGGAATATCTCCCAAGTAAGTTCTTTTCTTGCCTTAGACTGGTGAGGACTTTACAATTTCTCATAGTAAAAACTAGTAGTTATTGCCAAAATGAATATTGAAAATAAATCAAACCGTTTTAAAGAGAACTGCCTATTACACAATTTAAAGCAAAAGGGAATTGCCACGTCTAAAAGGACAACAAAACATTGCGCTTCGATTTCTACTTGGATTGTTGCCTATGATTCAGGCTGGACGAGATGTATTTGTGCTGAATTCAAACGTCAGTACCTTCAACTGATAAGGTTCAGCTGGAAATTGATACCAGTGTTTAGATTGGCAGAGCTTTAATCAATTTTGGGCCATGGAGAGGCTTGTTGAATAGGCAGAATTGAGATCTCTTCAGTCTGGACGGGGCTGGAAGTGGCTGGATTGATGATTGCTGATTTGGGGCTGTACTTCAGTACCTGTTCTACTTGATTATGAATCATCCAAGAGCTATTCTGGCAATTTTGAGAGATCAAGGCATCTCTGTAAATTTTATGAGGTTTTCACATTATGAAAAACTTGAGTTCTGCTTGACTATGCTGAACCAAATTTGTAACGAGAGAAATCTAGTCCTCTTTGTGAACTGAAATCAGAAACCTGAGTTCTGCCTGTTCTGTCAGAGACTGGATGTCTTTTATAAATTCAAGAGCTGGATTGGTTTAGAGTCTGAAGACTTTTGAGATAGTATGATCTTGTTTGAGTTTGTCAATATGACTTGAGAATTTTTGTTTTGATTGAATTTTTGGCTATCTCTAATCTTGTTCACCTCCTTTTACATTTATAGATAATCTAAATGAGGGACTATTCCTTAATATCTGGAGGACGAAAGGTTTGAAAGGATTCCTTGTTCCAGCGTAAAAAAGGGATAGTGGTTTAATCTGACAAAAGAAATCCTCCATCAAAGGTCAGCTTTCATGATGATCAGTTTTGATCTCCTGTCAACTAACTTTCTTATCTCTTGTTTATCTCTTGTAACCCCACTTGCCCTGATGCAAAGCCCTCACTAGCATAGGAAAGAAACTTGGCCTTCTTTTCTGGCATTAAATGGTTATGGGAAGTGGTTTTCCGATTAAACCTTATACCAACTCCCGATCACGTCCTCTAGCCTGTTGAAATTTTGACTTTTAGACTCACGTGGGTTTTTTTGAGAAAAATATCTTCCCCAAGAATCTGCTGACTTGATCTATGAAATTGTGATCAATGGTGATGATCAAATTTTGAACCCTTGGAGAGACTTAGAAGTTTGGTTTAGATTTAAACCAATTAAAACTAATTTTTTCCTAGATTAAATCACCATTATTAGCAATTAATCTTTAATCTATAAATTTATTCCTACAATTGGTTCACAAATGTCTGGGCCTCTAAACCCATCAGGGCTGACTTCTGATTTTGGTAGCACAAAGCCCAAGCCACTGTTTTTGACATGGGCTAATAGTTAGTTGGGTTGGCGCGTGAAATTTAGGCACAAACAGAATGTTTTCTGCATAAGAGGGTGGTCCCGTGTGGGGTTAGTTTTTATTATTTATTAGTTAGATATGTGGTGTAGGTTTGTTAATGAGATCTTATTTGTGTGTGGGGTTAGTCTACAAAAACAAAGTCACCTAGGATACAGCTCAGGCTAGTCTGGACGTAGGTACTGTGGTCCATCATCAGGACCATTAAATTCAACTTAGGTTAGCCTGAACCTAGAACTATCTCTCGGGACCATTAAATTAAATGTTGTGCATATTGTTGGACAGCCACAGCTTTTTGCAAGTTGCTGTTTGTTGGGTTTGAAATATCTCAACTGTTTGAGAAATTAAATGCTACGTGCTAGTCAGAGATCCTTCTAATTTTTGGATTTCATACTCTCCCTTCCTCAGTTTCGACGTTCACTTTTGCTCCATGTAGTTCTAGTTGTACTCGTGGGTTCGCGTTGTAAGTTGTAATCACAAGAAAGAAGTTGTAATTTTCTTTTCTCATTACAACAAAAAGGAAAGAAACAGAAGAAGAAGAAAAGATGGCGGAGAAGGTGACAGTGAGCATAAAAGAGTCCACGATGGTGAAGCCAGCAGAGGAGTCGACGCCCCGAGGCTCGCTGTGGCTCTCCAACTTGGACCTACAATATTCGCCTATCACACGTCAAATGTTTACTTTTACAGATTAAGCGGTGACGAGAACTTCTTTGACCTAGTAGTGCTCAAGCAAGCCCTCAGCAAGGCCCTTGTGCTCTTCTACCCCATGGCCGGTCGCTACAAGCTCAACGACCAGAATGGCCGTATGGAGATTGATTGCAATGCGGAGGGAGTGCTCTTTGTTGTAGCGGAGAGCATCTCTGCCATTGATGATTTTGGTGATTTTGTGCTCAACCCCAATCTTCGTGAGCTCATCCCCGGTGTTGATTACGCTGGTGGGATATCCTCATTTCGCATTTTTGCGTTACAGGTATTTAATAATTATCATCCAAGTTCCATGAGTAGAATTATTTAATATTGAAGGCAAGGCATTTGTAATTGTTCAGAATGAATGGCAAGCTGTTTGTGGACGGTTGAAATTGAGTTTGGAAACGATTTGTAAGATGATAACAATGTTTTAGAGAGTTTTCACCTTCAAACCTTAAACCACATAAAACATTGAATATTCAGCAGAAAGTTTGAATGGAACTTCAAAATTTTCTATTCTTTTAGGACTTATATATCAATAATTATATTATTGTTCATCCCATCATAATTGATGGTTGTCATGTTAGTGTTTTTTTGAAGTACCCTATTGGTCTATTAAATTGGTCATAACTAGATGTCTTAATGGTTTTCAATTATCTAGGAATGAAAACTTGATAAAATACACGGTTTGGATCGTTAAAATAAAATTACTCGAGGACCTTACAAGTTCTCTACCAAATAAAATTATTTGAAATTAGGGTTAATGGTTCTATTAGTCCCCAAACTTTGACCGAATTTTAATTTGAGTACCTCAATTTTCAAAATGGTACCCACGGTCCCGCAACTTAAGTTTCGTCTGAATTACTAATCCCACCGTTACTTCTGTTATTTTTTTCGTTATATTTAGGGGTATATGGGTCTTTTCAGGTTGGTTATATTATCTCCCTTCTACAACTTGCCCTCGCTCCCTCTGAAATAGACGATCGAGAGAGAAAGCCTGCAGCCGAAAACCTAAAGAACCAAAATTTGCAATCCACTTCTGCAGCTCGCATATTGGCTGAGTAAAAGTTGGAATCGTCAAGTTTGGAAGCTTGGAGAGCAGATTAGTTCGAAGGATGGCAAGTGATATTTCCGAAACATCATCAATGGAATCTAACCAAAGCCCCAAATCGGTGAAGTATTGTCATTGTGGAAGTTTGATCAAATCGAGGACTTTATGGACGGACATGAATCCAGGAAGACCCTTTGAGGCTTGTGACAACAACCAGGTAAACAATTTTAGACTATTGGGTTTATGCACAAAATTGGTATTATGTTCAGATTTTGTTGTGATGAAGAATTTGATAATAGTGAAGCAGAAAAACAGAGTTGGAGAGCATTATTTTAGGTGGTTGGACAAGGAGACATGTACAAGAGGGAAGAATGTGGTGCCTGGTATGCTTAGAAGAATAAGAATGATGGAAACTGAAATGAGGGAGACAGAAGAGAGAAAAAATGTTGTGGTCAACACACTTCAATCCTTAGAAGCTCGAAACTTGGAAATGGAGGGCATAATTGAAGAAAATAAGAGGGAGTTGGATTATGCAGTCAGAGACAACAAAAGGCTTAGACTTTTGCTGGAAGACAATATGATGAGGCATCGACAAAGAGAATGTAGGATGAGTATGGGTGCTTGTGTTTTATTTATGGCCATTGTCATGATGATGATCATGGTGTCGAACATGTCTGGAAAATGTATGGGAGTAAGGGCAATGAAACCCATTTTGGAGCTAATGTAATTCCCGAAATTAGTTATGCAATCTTGTAACGTTATTAGTTATGCAAAAGGCTTATGGATTTTGAAAACTTTGGTTATTTGCAATGTTGTAATTCCAGATTCATTGACCTTAATTTGCATACAAGACTTGTTCAAATTAAGGCATACAAATGTACATGAAATAGTAGAGCAACCTTTCACATAAGCA